CCACCACTCCCCTTTCCTTCTATTTATTCCCCAGCCATGGAGGGGCCCTTTACCATTCACGTGTGCTTTGCTTCCCGAGTCGACTCCTTGTCCTCAGTTTTTCCCCTCTCCTATCTTCTCCGCGCATACGTGAATCTGGAACGGGCCCCAGCTGTTCTTTCTCCTCACTCATCTCAGCCTCCGATGGCAGTTGCTTCTCTGGCGGCTGGGAAATGTTGGCTCTATCTCTGTGTCTGACGCAGAGCATCCATTCAGAGCCTTTCCCAGACTCCAGAACCGGCCCAAGTTCCTTCCCAACCTCCTCATCCTCCGAGTCTGCCGCCAGCTGTGATGGCAGCTTGCAGGCCACAACAGAAAGCTCAGCATAGCCCACCGAGATGGACAGGTGGCTAAAAGGGTTACATCTCACCCCCCACCCCAAAGTTACCCCTCTCAATCGGGTTTCTCACTTGAAGTCACAGAATGGATTAGTAGGATGGGGTCTTAGAGGTCATCCAGTCCAACCTGTCATGCTACCCTAGGTTTGTAGAAAGCCATGAATCTATCTCGGATAGATAGAAACTTTGAGTCATTCTGTTTCCGTTTCTCTTCTAGTTGGAAAATCTTCTCGGCTTTCAGTTCCCATCTTCTGCTTCTTCTTCTTCTCGTACCCTTCGCAATGTCTGTCAAATTGTATCCCACCCATCCCCCAGGACACCCCTCTTCTCAGGCCCAAATCAGCTAATTGCACATTTACCTTAATGTAAAACCGTAACCCCTGCTCAGGGGAGTCTTCGGCTCACAAACTTAACAACTGCTTCATTTAGTGACCATTCAAACTTACAACGGCACTGAAAAAGTGACTTGTGACTGTTTTTCCACACTTACGACCGTTGCAGCGTCCCCATGGCCACGTGATCAGAATTTGGACACTTGGCAACTGACTCGTATTTATGACGGTTGCATCATCCCGACATCATGTGATTCCCCTTTGGTGATCTTCTGACAAGTAAAGTCAATGGGGAAGCCAGATTCACTTAACAACCATGTTCCTAACTTAACAACTGGCTGTTTTATGTAATGGGTTTTTACTTCAAGTCCATCTCACTGGCCCCCTCTGCAGCCTTATTTCTCAACCTTGTAAACTTTAAGTTGGGCGTACTTCAACTCCCAGAATTCCCCATTCAGGTGGACTTCAACTCCCAAAATTCCCCATTCAGGTAGATTTCAATTCCCAGAATTCCCCATTCAGATGGACTTCAACTCCCAAAATCCCCATTCAGATGGACTTCAACTCCCAAAATCCCCATTCAGGTGGATTTCAACTCCCATAATTTCTCATTCAGGTGGATTTCAATTCCCAGAATTCCCCATTTGGAATGAATTCAACTCCCAGAATTCCCCATTCAGGTGGATTTCAACTCCCAAAATTTCTCACTCAGGTGGATTTCA